ATAAGAGTTTGCAGTAACGCACTTATTCTTCCTTAAAAGTCTCCATCAATCCAAAAATATCTCCTTATTAAAAAAGGCAACACTGGTAAAATGAATTGCCTCTTTTGCATGGCAAATACCTTTAAAGTGTAATTCTGCTGTATCTGTTTTTGCAGATGTCCCAGTGCATAACTGCACCCTCCAACCTTCCTAGAAACACTATTAATAATTTTATTTCCAGCTTTACCTTAACCATTGTGTTAGTGATCGAGTCCAAATTAACATAAACTGAGCTAGCAAAAGAGTTGTACTCACCTATTCATGAACTTGTATCGGCGGTGCAGGTAATAGATTTTTCTCCTGGAAGAACAGCAAAAATGAAGCCAGTCGAGAAGAAAACCCATCGTCAGTTACAGTATGAACTAGCAAGGAAGGAAAGGAGATTGAAGACAGAAGCCTGTAAGAGGTGGAGGAAGAGACTAAAGAGAGATTACAGAACTGTCACAGGCAGCCACACAGACTCTGGTGGCATCTGAATTGCAAGGAGGTCATCCTTTTCTCATTTTCTTCTCTTTTTCTGCTACTTGTCATGTGTGAAAGACAGGGACTCAAAGATGTGTCTATTTCCAAGAAGTCCATAAACACTTGTAGGAATTTTGCAGGACCAATACAAAGATGGATAAATTATCCTCTGTGTATCTCAAATCCACCAGATAATTTACCAAAACTGCATTTGATAAAATGTAGAGGGAGTAATTTAGAAAAGCCAGAGAAATGATGCCTGGTGCTGCAATATGCCAGTAACACATGCAGTGCCAATGTAGAGCAGTGTTTACTGATGGAGCATCATCCCTTGAAACAATACAGATTACATAAGTTATTTGGTATGTATTCAGCACCCACCCCAGGATATAACCACTCCCTCTGCCCCTTTTATAGGCATTGCTCATTTTTATTGTCAGTGCAATAAGCTGTGTTGGGGTGTGCATGAAGAACAAGTGAGAAGACAAGGTGCACAATCAAATGCATGCTGACCACAGTCTCTTGATCTTGTCATCTTGCCACATTAGGAAATACTACTTTTCTGAAAGAGTGGTCAGGCACTGGAATGGGCTGCCCAGGGAGGTGGTGGAGTCATCAACCCTGGAGGTGTTCAAGGAATGTTTAGACATTGCGATGAAGGACATGGTTTAGTAAGAACTGTTGGTGGTGGGTGGACAGTTGGACTGAATGATCTTGTACGTCTTTTCCAACCTTGGTGATTCTATGATTCTGTGATTCTATCATTCTATGATCTGCTTTCCTATGGGCCCTGTAGGGTTCATATCACCCAGGGCAGCGGCCCCTAACCATCCTGTGTACATACAGAATGGGATGTCCACCTTCTGTCCCACTCCGCAGCTCTTGTTCTCCTCATAGGTGCCTATTACACCACAACTGTGACCACAACTGCGACCTTCACTAGAGAGATCACAGACTCCTTTGGCCAAATCTTCCACAGAGTAGTGCTGTATCTCTTGCCCTAATCAGCAGGAGCAGACAAAGGTCAAAAGTAAGTGTTACTGATGATGCCATTTGCCTCTTGATTTTCCTTCAAATATAATTCAGAAGTATCCACTTTTTGGGACCACCATTTTGAAGCAGGATTTTATTCACTGATGTGCGGACCTTGTACTAGTCCAGCCTAACAGGACAGTAATAATGATCTCTCTGTAGATACAAAAAGAATGAAGATGTGGTCACAAAGCACATCTTTATACATAATTTGTATGGCACCCAATTTTCTATCTGCTGAGAAATGGATCTCAAAAATGGTACTCGAGACCGGGAAAGAACAAACTGCTCACAGCAACTAAAATACGAGTTCCTGTTGTATTTCTTAATCATGAGATCTTATCCTCTTACTGGGGCAGATTAATCTCAAGGAATGCCAAGAAATGCTGAAAAAGGACGCTTTTAGCCTAGTCAATTGTTTCTATGGCTAGAATGGCTTTTAAAAAAGAGCATGGACATCCTGTAATGACTTGTGATTGCCTTTGCATTTTTCTCTTTAGCAGCAAAAGCTCAAAAAAGAGCTGTTGAAGATTTGCTATGTAAACAAAAAACAAAAGAAAACCGAATTCATATAGAAAAAGCCTGCAATTTAGTCCTTACTTCATATCCACTTTTCCTAAAACGTTCTTAACAGTACAGAGCTTGTGTCATACTAGAGGCATTTTTTTTGTCCTTAAGCAAGAAGGAAATAGGAATAGAAATCCTGCAAAGAACATCAACTCACTAGCTGAATATTCTAGGTCTGATCTTTATCTTGCTCAGGAGTAATTCCATTAAAATAAATGGAATTAAGCAACTGTAAACCCTGCTAATTAAAAGAAAAATCAAGTCCTCTCAGTTCATGGGTTTTGGTCAGTTTGAGTTGAAGTCTTCAAGCTATTCTAACAGTTCTGATAGCCAGCACAGTAAAATTGATATTTTACACAAAAAATTCCATAGCCCAACACGCAAATAATATTTAAAAATGGCCAAAATAATCTGAATGATGATGTGAAATTAATTTGGTTGTCAGTGGCATTCAATCAAATTTATTTTCTCCACAGGCAAAGCACTTACAGCCTGAATTGTGCTCCTACTAGAAGTGATACGTATTCATAATCTGCATTTCTGAATTTACACATTATACAAGCAGAAATTTTACAGGTGCTGAACATATCAGATACGTCCAATAGACATGCACTTCTGTGCTGCCTTACGTACCTGGATCTTCTTGACCTCCCATTGATTTCAATGAAATGTCCATTTAAAAAACAGCAGCGCACAAGTATGCAGGGGGCTCCAGCAGTGAAGGGGTTAAAGGGCCTAAGGATAGAATACCCCATGAAAACAGCTGCACTGCTACTGCTCACCTTAATTTCAAACCAATACTCTACTGAAATCGCAGGCAGACATTAACAAGAAAGAACAATGAATATGGTACGTATGACACTCCATTTATACTTTCTAAGAGTGTGTGGTACCATATAGGCAAGCTTTCCATGTGCATTCTGCTGTTATTTTTTACTTTAGCTTTACAGTAAAGCGTGAAGACAAAATACAACTACACCTACCTGAACGGCATTCTTACATTCATTAGTTCAGCGTATTTGCCCAGGACCTCCCAAGGAGCATGCAACTTCACAAAGATGACGTCACTGTTTGTTAGAGATGACTGCAAAAGAAAAAGAAAACAGCCACCAGGGCTTAATTCTTCAGATAAGAAAAAAACATCTATTCTTGCCTTTGGCAGCCCTCCCACTTCCCGACTCTTCCCAAACCACGTGTTGTTCTATTGAAATGCTATCAACTTATTTGCCTTCTGGTTTTCTGAGAGCCATGTTCTGACTTCCTTCCAGCCTGTACAAGTATTACCTTCATATGGAAAAGAGGACATGGATGGGAGGTTAACATGGAGTTGTGGGTTACCCAAGTGTGGGGTGGGAAAAAAGTTGCTCCTTAGCTTCAGCTAAAACTAAAATGGCAACTTTGGATCTGGTTCTGCTAATTGACCTGATTTCTGTGCTCATCATGATACAGATGTCTCTTTTTGAGTCATATAATGGAGACACATCTGGCAATTAAGAAAAATTTAATGACATGGACATATAATGAAATTCAACAGTGTCATGGGTTCCGTTCTCACTCTCGGCTCCAAGAATTTGAATGTTACAACTAAAGTCAGCAGGAAAAAGGATGCCTGATGCCACCCCCAGCACAGATTTATTGCCAGGAGTCAATGACGGTTTAGGGTCACGATTGCCACTAGGAGATCTTTAACTCTTTTCTTTGTACTATTTTCTTTCCTATGGGTTGTATGTATTTTCAAGAGAGTTTTACATAGCATATTCACATTCAAACAGTTACCTAATAGAAGGCTGTCCAGCAATGAGCAGAGAACGTGCAGCTTAGAGAAGGGGAAAAATGTAGGTTTATTTGCTCTCAGGAGGAGAAATAGTGCTTTTCAGGAAAACTACAACAGCATTGGCTGAAACTGCTCTTATTGAGAACACAGACATTCACATATTAATATTGGAAGAGGAATTGTACAAATTCTAGTGAAAATCTGCGTTCTGTGCAGCTTACAACAACTGAATGGATCACACTAACAGAGACAACTAAGACAGGCTGAAATCAAGGAATACCCAGGAAATAAGTGAAGTATGAGAGAAGGAAAATGTGAGGACAGAGAAAATCAGGCAGGAAATTTGTTAGTTTAAGGACTAGTTAGAGTATAGGGAATTTTTTCCCAGTCTTTTAGACTTTGTACTGTATTAAATGCTCCTCACATTCATTCTTAGTTATTTTAGCTTACTGGGGATTCTTAAGTCTAAGACTTCAACAAGTGGATAGCGCACAACCAAGACTATGCACTGCTGCTCTAAAAATTTCCTGCAAACCACTCCCGAAGAGGTTAAGGTTAAGTCAGCAGAAGACTGGCAAGTTTTTCATAAGCAACACAGATGAAAACCAAACTGAACCAAAGAATCTCCTAGTAAGGTCCTGACACACTAACAATAGTTGAGAAATGGAGGAAATTGACTGAAAACAGTCTATAAATTTACTGATGAATGTCATATACATTTTCCAGCACATTGTAATTTAAGCCATACAAAGTATAACAGTCACAGTAACAGCTATTTCACAAGTGAAACCTGCATTTAACTAGATTTGATTTCTTATGTTACATATTTTCACACAGAAACATGAAAAGATTCCAAATACTATGAGAAAAAAATACAGATCTTTAAAGATATAGATTATTTTTTAAATCTGGATATTGTAATACTATTTTATTAATTTCGTCCACAGAAAATCTAACAAATATGCATTTGTGAGGCTTAGTTATTTTCAGAAGAGATGATGATGCTAAATTATGAATATGCAAATCCAGTTCACTTGAATTTCCTCATATTATGTGTTTATAAAAGAAAGCATATGGATAGACTGAGATAAGCAAGATTGGAACTAAAAGGACAATCCATACAAAAGAGTAATTTAATGCAGTATCACATTTACCTAATTTAAGGAGAAAATTGCAAATCAAAGCATCTAAAAGAAAATATCAGTAGGTCTATCTTAGTTACAAAATACTTTAGTGAATAGAATCTGTGAAACTGTCTTTGTTATATTAGTATTTAGACCCCTTAGTATCCTTAGGCTTCATAATGTTCCACTGAGAGGAACACTGTTCTTTTATAATTGACTTTAGAGACTTGCCTCATTTAAAAGTTTGGAGAAATAAACACAGTTTCACATTATAGGAATATGCAAACAAAAATCAGTGTTAACATTGCTGAGCTTGGAAATGTAAATAAAAAAACTGTTTATTGACATGAGCCATCTGCTAGAAAATGATGTCTAGATGATAAATAAAAACTAACACAGCAATAAAGGGAGCAGAAAATGAAATATAACACTTTGTAAACTTTAAAATGGAGCATGTGTTTGGCTTTGACTTATGACACCAATGTCATCAGTTATCACCTTGTGATAATTGCCAGGCCACCAACATTCACATAAATCGGCCATTTCAGACTTACTTCTTGAAAAAGAACATGCATAGTGTGAGACAAGAGACTTTATTATAATCAGAGAACCACTGATTAATTGAAGTCTCCTCTCGGGGTCATCTGTGCTCACTCTTAGCCTAAAGCAGGGTCAATTTTAATCATTTGCTCAAGGGCTTGTCCTGTTGAGTTCTGAATATCTCCATGGGAAAAGATTTCACAACCTGTCTGGGCTAGCCACTTACTGTAAATGGTTGAGAAAAAAATATTTTCTATGGTAAAACTGTAAAACTGTACACTTCTACAGAGAAATGCTGGTTGTAGAAATACGAGTTTTTACACTGGAAATCAGAGAACATTCAAAAAAATGCAAAGAAGGCTTTATAAAGCAACTTGATTCTTACAGGAATGCATAAAAAAAATAAAATCTGACTAAACACACTAGCAAGGTGTATTTAGTTTTATTGAATCCTCATCTTCAAAATATGACAATGTCCCACAGGATAGAATTCAAATCACCACAACCTGGGTCACAGGTTATCAGTATACAACGAGTGCCATTCTGTGGTGTCATCAATCTACTATTTTTCACAAACTATAATTTTTCTGTCCTTCTTCTCCCTGCTCACTCACCTCCTTTTTCAGTTGATCTGGAACGACAGCATTCCTGAAAATACTAGACCAATGTTTAATAACCACAAGTAGATGTTTCCATGGCCTGTATTTCAGTATAAGAGATTCATTAATTCTCACCCTTTCTGTGTTCACTGATAAATCACTTTTATCATGATACTATGGCTGGCAATATGACAGTACAGGTAGTGCCATAGGACCACATATTATAGGTAGAAATGGCTATTTCTTTCTTCTGGCAAGACCACCTTTGTCTTTTACCACTAAGTCTGTAGAGACACTGTATTCCCAAAGAAAACAAATCAACTACAAATGTGCTTAAAAACTAAGCACTGTATTCTTCTCCAGTATCACTATAAAAGTAATGGGAGAGTGTAACGTAAGGGCCATTTACATAACTCCAAAAGCATAAGCAACTTCTTCGGGCCAAGGAAAACTTGTAAAGAAATATCAGGTTCTTGATCTTCTTCTGAAAGCAGGCTTTCATGTCTAGAAACAGAGTGTTGTTAACTGCTGCTTTAGAGAATTTAAGTCGTGGCTAACAAAGTCACACATATTTCTGCAGGCATTCTAAGTTCTTTTGATGGCAGGATTTGAAAATATGTATTCACTACTGACCTGGCTCTGCTCTTTCTGAAGTTATCATTGTTAGTCTGAACGGAAGCAAAATTGTGCTGACTTTGAACATCTCTTGAAAAGCCTACATTTTACAGTATTTGTAGACTGCCTTCTAGGATCAGGGCTGGAGATTGGTCCTTATTCAAATACTTTCTTGAAGATTCTTTTGCAACAAATAAAACTTTCAAAATTCATTACTAATGTTGTCAAGTCATTTTAAGACAAAAACAACTGTAGGACTCTCGTTAATACAGTATTTTTTAGGTTAAAAATTAAGAAAGTAGAAAAAGGGATTCACAGGAGATAACCTTGAAGAAAGATATAATTACAGTGTCTCCAATTGGGTGGTGTAATTATTTATTTGCCTTGAGGCTACCAGGCAGACAACTGTAAAAACCAATGCTCTAATTTGTGTATGCTTATCTATATAGAAAAAATGTAAAAGGAAAAGAAATCAGAATTTATTGCAAACACCTTTTCCCTGTCATTGTTTAAGAAAAAAAATACTAAAGACTGGGAATTTTCCCACCTTTAAAGTAAAATAAGATAAAAAGATTTTGGAACAGATCTAGCAACTAGACTCAATTCTTGCCTAAATTAGGAAGACCCAGCAAGGTAACTTAAAAAGAAAGAATAGGAATAGTGCTGTAGTTACTTGCAAACAGTCCATTTTTGTTAAGAACATCAGATAAGAAGCCAGAAGAGAAAATCAACACCTGTCCTCTAATAACAATTCTGCCTATAATCAAACTCCATATGACGTCTCACTGCAGAGCAGTAAATAGTAACTCTTGCAGGTTCCACTGCTTTTGAAAATGACTCTAGTATATTAACAGCACAGACTGATTTGCCATGTGAACTGAATTAAGTGGATGAAAACAAAAGCCAGCAAATTTTAGCTGATTAAATCATCCTTCCTCTGCAGAACCAAAATAAATATAAATTAACGAGGGTAATTCCACAGAACTGGACAAGCAGCAATAATGTTCTGCCAGTACTTTTCAGAAGTGCATACCTCACCACTGAGTACATACTCTCAATACATGTTCTGTTTGAGGGAAAATATTACACGCGCACATGCGTTAACCTCTACATTCATGGATCAAAAGAATCTACTAAATAATAGTGCCAATGTCTTTCAAATGTATCCTTTCAATCACAGCACAGGTGTGATGGAAAAGAGGAATATATTGTTCACATTTCAACATGTTAAGAAGCTTTTGACTTAGGAGACATGTAGGACAAAAGCAGTTAAGGTGAAAGTAAGATTCAAGAAATAAAGTCTTAACTAATAAATAGAAAGCTGTTAATGAAACAATTTTGACATAGGAGGACACTGACATATAAAATATTGAATAACTGTATATGAAGCCACAGGGAAGAGGTTACAATTTACTGTGATTTTTGTATGAAA